TTTTCTCATGGACAAGGAGTTTCTTCTTGAAAACTTTCTGGTCTTTCAAGCCCCTTGGTAGTTTTTTCTTGTTTGCATTCCTTTATTGTTTTCCTATCTGGAACATCCTATCTCTAAGGAAAAAACACTTAGAAGAAACTTCTAGTGATGTTATTCAGGCTTCAAGGTAGTTTTGGTTGTTAGATAAAACCTGTTTTACTCACTTAAATTCTACATCTAAACCCTTTAACTTTTTATATATTATAACTTTAATATGTATCTCAAAACAAACTTATAAATCACCTACATATACCTTAATATAAACTTTCACTACACTTAAATCTTATGCCTTGTATTCAAACACCACAACTATAATTACAAATAATAAGTAAAAATATTCAAAACAATTCTTTGTCTAAACAAAATCAGAAACCTCTTTTTACCAGGTATTAGTCACAAATCCTAACCCTAAAAATAAGATCTGTAACCCATGACCAAGCGAAAGTCCTTTAAACATGCCTCAGAGTCATCACATGGGCAAAAGGGACAGGTCAAACAACGTAGTGGGAAGTGGAAAGATGGACAATGAGTTTCCAGTAGCCTGTGGTCCGGGGTCACCAGGACCCTGTCAATCTGGTGGGCCTCCAAGGCTGGCTCCCAACAAGTTGGAGTCTCACTCGTTTCCCAGGCTGGAGTGCAGTGGCACGCTCACGGCCACCACTGCCTTGACCTGCTGGACTCCGGCGATCCTTCCGCCTCAGCCTTCCAAGTATCTGGAACTACAGATGCACGCCACCACGTCCAGCTAGTTTTTGTGATTTATTGTAGAGACGAGGTCTCACCAAGTTGCCCAGCCTGGTTTTGAATCCCTGGGCTCAGGCAATACTCTCACCTCGGCCTCCCAAAGCGCTGGGATTACAGGGTGAGCCACTGCACCCGAACTTGTTGGTTATTAATTGGCTTGGTGAACAATCTGAACTCACTTTCGAGTTAATGCCAGAAAAGCATAATCTTGACTCAACTTTAATCCAGTATTTTTGTTTTAATAAACTAAGAACTGACTGAATTTTAAGCTTTGCCCCTTGAAAAAGCCCTCATTCATATCAACCTCTATAAGTGATCATTAGGTATGCCCAGGACATACTGCAGCGAATGTTGAAACATTGATCGTGACTCCAGGACTTCCCTGAGAGGGAGTCTTCCAAGCCTCCTGATGCACTGGGTAAGGGTGGCACCCCTACCTGCGGCTTGCCCCTTGCAAGCTGTATGGCCATGATACCATGGCTGATGTGACTGTCTCATAATGTTTTTGTAGAAATGCTATCTGGATAGGTTGCAAGAATGAGGGATTTGCCATCTTAAGATTATGTCTTACAGAATGCCTCAAATCATGATGTGTACCACCAAGGTCACTCTCCAGCCAGAAGTTGCCCAGCAGCCCCAGGTTCAAGTTGCCTGAGAGCTCTTGGAGTTGAGCTCTACCAGTATGCTGGGGGCTGTGCATGGGACAAGAGTGGTCCCTGCTCTGCCTGGACAATCTTACTCCAAATAGCAGGAACTGGGCTTTGTGTCCCCCCGCACTCCAATCCTACCCCAGCATTCACAGAACCATTCCATTTATACCGAATCAACCGATTAAGTGAGTGGAACGGTTTTTGAACTTTTGAACTAGAGAAATGTATCCTCAGTGTTCAATAATCAAGCCAGCCCTTTTAAAAATGCTTGAGAACAAAGTCAAAGCACGATGAAACCACACTTAATTAACACACTCAGGGACGAGTGTGTTAAGATCTGGTAGGAGGGGCTAGTGTGGTAGCTCGGGCCTGTAATCCCAGCACTTTGGGAGGCCAAGGTGGGAGGACCGCTGGAGCCCAGGAGCTTGAGTCCAGCCTGGGCAACATGGCAAGACCTTGTCTCTACAAAAAGTCAAAAAATGAGCCAGCCACGGGGGGGCATGTGCCTGTAGTCTCAGGAGGCTGAGGTGGGTGAAATCACCTGAGCTCTGGAGGTTGAAGCTGCAGTGAGCCGTGATCATGCCACTGCGCTCCAGGCTAGGCTATCAGAATGAGATCCTGACTCTGAAAAAAATGAAGACGTGGTAGAAAATAAAACCCTTGCTGGACATACTACCTAAAACATAAGCCGTCTCCTGAGACACACGTCGCTAGTGTCCGCTGCAAGGATGGTGTCGGTGCCAGGAGAAAGCCCAGAGGCACTGGGAGAAAGAGAATCGATGGATCTTGGTCTCTGAATGGGTTAGGAAAGGTAGCCAGGAGATATAGAAATGCAACACGATCGGGCTGTGACTCCCCAGGTGTTCCGTTGTTCTCAGCTGTCCTTAGCTCCAGAGTTGACTCACGCACTGCCATCTGTGTGGGGAGTGGGGACAAGAGTGTGCAGGCTGGCCTGATGGCACCGCTGCCATCCTCAGTGCCACAGGAGGGCTGCCCACTGCCAGGGGAGGGCACTTCCCAAAGAGCCATGCCTGCTCTGTTGGGAAACTGGAGACAAGGGTGGGCTCAGGGTGGGCAGGTGAGAGGGGACAGGAAAGGAAGGGAGGGGTGGGATCTTGAGAAGCTCCTTAGATACCATTGAGGTCCCTTCCTTGAAAAGTCACACAAGTGTTGGCTTCATAGCTGTTATACACTACTTGGATGTTTGCACTTTTCTGTGTGCTGTTTCATTTTACAACATACAAAAGTGTTCAAATTTAAAAAAAGGTTGGGCACGGTACCTTAAAACCCTGTCATCCCAGCACTTTGGGAGGCCGAGGTGAGTGTATTGCCTGAGCCCAGGGGTTCGAGACCAGCTTGGGCAACTTGGTGAGACGTTGTCTCCACAATATATCAAAAAATTAGCTGGGCGTGGTAGCACACGGCCACTTGGAAGGCTGAGGTGCAAGGATCGCTGGAGCCCAGCAGGTCGACGCCGGGTAGCCGTGAGAGTGCCACTGCACTCTAGCCTGGGCTACAGAGTGAGACCCCCAGCTCAAAAAACAAAAACAAAAAAAGACAGCACAAGAACAAGCCCCTCCTTGCACCTAGTAACTGTAGGGCTTTAGGCAGTAAACGTAAGAATGAAAGCTATTGGGCAACCCACTTTTGGGTCCCCTCTCGCTGGAGAGAGCTTGCCTATCTTCTAATAAACTCCAATTTGCTCAAAAAAAAAAAAACTACTGAATGCGGAGTGTTCCTATACTAACTTGTGCTATGCAACAGTCCTGTGTGATAAGACTGTGTCCATTCTATAGATGAAGACACTACCTCAGCAAGGTGAAGGGGTCCGCCCACACAGCTCTGGGGAAGCATGGCCAGATGTGGACATGAGGTCCTCTTAGGCTATACCCAGAGCCTGCCCTCCAGTGGCAATGGAGAACACGCCCTCTGAGATCCTCTTCGGGTTGCAGGGGCATTCACAGACAAAACCACACTGTCAGGTTATCCCTGGAGATGGTGATGGTCCACAGAGAGGCCCTTTCTTGAGACTGTAAGATGTGGTCTTGACATCATATTTGAAAGTGTGTGTTGGCAAGACATGCCAAATCGTGATGACCGTGATGGCTTATGAGTGCACTTTGAGTTGATGTAATTCACGGCTCTGCTGGGACGTGTAAAGGAAAATGTCTGTTAGGCTTGCTGCCTGAAACTCACACTGGCTAGAAGAGTGAGTGCAGAGTGCAAGTGGTTATTATTGTTGTCTTTTATGTTCATAAGAGATGCTAGTCTGTGCTTTTCTTTTCATTTATCAGATATTGGTGTTGAAAATTCTGGTCTCATAAATCCAGTTGGGAAACCTTTTCCTTTTTCGCTATCCTCTCAAAGAGCTTATGCAACATAAACTCTTCTGTAATATTTCATCTTCAAATGCCCAGGGAAAATCACTGATGAAACCATCTGGGCCTGGAGTTTTTTTTTTCCCCATAAGAAAGTTTTAAATTTTTAATTACATAATAAAGTTCTTATGTATTCACAGAAATTACATCTCTGGTTATGAATGGAAGACGATAGAAACACTCTTACAAATGTGTACTGTTACTTTTTGAGGAAATATAGCTTAACAGTGATAATGGATACAGATGAGGAAGCACTTAAAGGTTTTCAATAAATCAGAAAATGCAGAGAGTACTGATATTTATGTGCCGGTGCCTAACATCACTTGTAGCCTGGCATGCTATTGTTTTATGTTCCCCAGCATTCTTATAAAGGTTATTTCTGTTCATTGATTTCTCACTGAGCTGCAAGATGTGGGATCCCACAGAGTGAGACAATCTGTTTTGGCTCTATCATCAGAAATGGCTTGAAAGCACAAATGACATTCCCATTATTCCACACATAAATCCTTGATGTCAATACCCTGAGGCTAAAAGCAATCATTTGGAAGGAAATCCCTACTTAAAATTAAGCAAAGGAAATCTGAATAGGATAATATCTATCCTGAAAATGTCAGACTCAAAACTGAGTTCTATATATGAATTGTATGGGAATCAGTTTTATAATAGCATCTCTGATTTGTTATATAATAAAACATAAAGGCCTTAGAAACTTTGTGTATTTCCAACCTCTGATGGTTTCCCCTAAAAAAGGTAACTTTTTATTAATTTTTCTCTCTTAAAACTGGCCAGGTGCGATGGCTCATGCCTGTATTCTCAGCACACTGGAAGGCAGGGTGGGAGGACTGCTTGAGCCCAGGAGTTTGAAACCAGCCTGGCAACACAGGGAGACCTCATCTTTACAAAAAAGTCAAAAAGTAAACCAGGCATAGTGGTGCGTACCTGTAGTCCCAGTCCCTCAGGAGGCTGAGATGGGAGGATCGCCTGAGCCCAGGAAGTCGATGCAGTGAGCAGCGACAGTGCCTCTGCATTCCAACTTGGGTGACAGTGAGACCCCAATTCAATTTAAAAAACAGAAACAAAAACCGTATTTCCTGAGCTGTCAACTCTCTGATTTCATTCACTTCTTTTCCCCGTGCCCCTCTGCACTCCCAGTCTAGTCTACTGAATACAACATTTGAGAAACCGGGCATTTAGGCAAAGATCTTTTATTCACGGTTAGGCTTACATAGTTCCAAGAAGTAAACATAATTAACAGAACACCTAAAAGTACCAGGGGAGGTACTCTGGTATCAGTAGAAGGCACTGATCATACCACAGAAGAAAGCTTGACATGGATCTTCATACGCTGATGCCGGCTTCAGTCCCGTCAAATGAATATGTGGTTCTCTGCGTGGTAACAAAGAGTGGCAGTAGCAGAAGAACTGGAGACTTTTCCACTGGCGTGGGCAGCCAAGACCCACCAGGAGTATCGGTATAGATGACATGAAGGTGACTATCATGGTGGCAATGACAACAATTCCAGCTATGACGACGACAAAGCTGAGGCCACCTATGGAAGCACGGTGGAAACCCTCCTGGTATCCCGCTAATTGTTTCTGATTCTTCAGATGGGTCACAAAACCCACCTGCACAAAACTGAACCCAGTGCATCCTGGGACACTGCAACACACTTGTCCTGTAGCCGCTAGCTTGGAAAAGCAGTAAAGGCTATTGCATCATTTTGGAAATGAGTCGAATCTGAGCTACAAGAAAAATATATTGTCTAAAAAAACATACACACAGGTACTTTTGGTGGTATGGTTTTTTGTGCTTGAGTATAAAAAGCGGTATGAGCAAAGTTAATGAACAGCAGGTTTATTCAAAAGAAAACAAAGAAAGTAGCATACCCAAATTAGTTTAAGACATAGCAAAATCAAATTTTATGCAAATACCTTTATAAAACTGAATTGTATAATCAAAAACATAAAAATACAGAGTAATTTTTATACATTGATACCGAATATGTTAAATTACTATATATTAAAGATACAATTTGAAAATTAGAGCTGTTTCAAAATACTATGTTTAAATTTCATTCTTGAACAACAGCGATAAATTACCAAATCACCATGTTGTCCTTCCGTGAGGGTTTCATGGTACACTGGGGTGGGAATGGGGGTCCATTTGGAGTTAGGAGAGAGTCATTAAGTAACATTCAAAGACAGACAAGAGGAAAATGTCAGGTTCAAATTTCACTACCTGAGACTTGCATAGAGCTTGCTGACTTGAATAAGACACGTCAACATTGCTTTAAAATACTGGCAACATCCACTACACTTTCCTGTTACAAGTAGGACATAACAGATAGGGCTTCAGGGAGAAACAGAACACAGATGAACTTCTACAGAAATAGAAAGCACTCGCAGAAGACCTCTTATTCTCTTTTTATGAGGCATAAACAGCAAAAGAATAGATAAAATATAACCACCATGATTAAAGACTACAGGGGATTTCATAGCTAGACTTTTATGATGTTTTATGAATGATCCTTAATGCTATATTATTCCTACAGAGTTCCCAGGAAAATTTCTCATCCTCTGTAATGTGGTTTAAACGTTCCAACCATTGACAATATCCACGTCAAAAGACTTTCACTCTTCGCGATATATATATAAACATATATATGGACAGTCACATCTCTCCAGGTTCATGCCAAACTGAAACTTCCATTATAACGAAGAAAGAGAACCGAAAAGGGACTTCTAGTGCCATTTATTTTCCTGTGACAGTAATAAAGCCGCTGTATCCCAGCTTGAAAAATACACAGTAATCAGTATGTGTTACAACGACATAAGTCAAAAGCAAGTGACTTTTCCCAGAAAAAAAATATTTCCCCATGACTCTTATTCTTCCCCCCTCAAAAAACACCATACACTTAATTAACTTCCACGCAAGTCGAGAAGCGCCCCAAGCCACGTGGCAGACAGGAGCATGGCACGGCCACACGAGGCTATGGTCTCCAGCTCTGTTCCCTGCCCAGACTAACCTCACAGCCTACCGTGCTTCACAACTCTTCTCTAGAACCTTTTTGTGTCTCCTGCCTGGCTTTGTCTTCCTCACTGGGGGCCAACCAGGTGAAATACACCTTCACGGGATCAATGTTCCAGTGTTTGTGGAATGATATGGGTACCTGATGAGAAAGGTATTCCTTAGGGTAATCCACTGGCCGAGCCTGCAGGAAGAAGAAGAGAAAATTATGCTTTCCTGTGGATTGAAAAGAATTTCACTGCAGGATACCATCTTAATTTATAAAGTGGATCGCTTTGCTTCACTATTCTATTTTGGTTATGGGAATCTAAAGGCACAAGAGGAAAATCTTTTGTACAGTCTTCCCTCTAACTCCAAGTTCTTTGCTTTTGTGTCTCCAATTACCTTAATGACCCTCATGCATGTCTTTTTTTGCTTCTCTGTTCCAAAGTCTTGCCTCTGGGAAATTCACAACCACGGTAATAAATACAAAGAGCTTTCCTTGCTGAGTCATTTAAATTATGACTTCTGCACAAAGGCAGAAAAATTGTCATGTCCCAGGTACTTCTAGAGAAACTCTGGCCACATATGGGTTTTGGTGGAGGTGGGGGGCTGGAGCAAGGAGTTCTGGGGGAGGGGGGTTCCTGGCCTGCTCTAATGTGTAATTAGGCGACACCTTCAAGGAAAAAAAAACATGGTATTCATTGAGGAGTAACATAAGGCATACTATACTCTCTTCCTACCTAAATATCTAGTCTGGTTCCAGAGGTTTGAATGGGAATTGTGAGTAACCCAAAACCATTTTCAGGGGGACCCGGGAAAGTTTCTGTATTATCTACATTTCAAAGCTCTTTAGAATTTAGAAAATGAAACATAAGCTGAGTTACAGTCTAGAATGATGAACTAGAGAAGTAACCTACAGGGTTAGAAGGAAACTGAAACCAAGATTAAACCTCTCTCAATGATCACCTTAATTTGTTTGTAAATTTATATGGGTCATCTGTTTTATATAGTAATTCTTTGCATCATCAATACTAAAATTGCCTTGGCTATTAAAACTAGATGTGATACATTTAAAAACAAGTCTTCTCTAGACTGCTGTTTTATTACAATCTGCCTAAAACTTTGATATGAATACTTAAATAAACTCCCTTAGATGGTTTAGAACACCCTAGTTAAATTGATCTCAGTTAGTCCTTGAAACAACGTGGAAAAAGAACAGAATATTATGGCTCATTCCCAACTGACAGAGGAGGAAACCAGAGCTCCCAGAAGCAGCATGACTGGTACATATTGGAATGGAGACATGAGAGGTATCCAGCCCCGGGGGCCAGGATTCGACCAGCCACGCATCACTGGTGGGACACACTGCACAGCACCTGGACTGCCCTTGCTTCACTGGCACAAATACACCGCTCAGATGAGGGCTCAAACAGTAATATCTGTTGGGAAAAGTTCACAACAATGCAGGGAGAGAACTTCCACGAATCCTATCTTATTGTCTTTTAAAAATTCTAAGTGCTCATGGAGTTAAAAATCTAAGGGAAAACTAAAAGGAAAGATAGAAAATACATACAGGACTAGAGTCTAATTGAATTGGGAACATTCTGAATATTCGTTGAGGGACTCCAAGTATTATATGCTTATCTGCTATAGAAAACAGTATTATATTATGTTTATCTGAGAGTTTAATGGCAAGGATGGAAACCAAGGAGAAATATACTCTCAATTCAGCTCAGATAATTCCACGATAGTCCCAGAAAAAAATACAGTAGTTCCCCCTCATCCTCTGTTTCACTTTCTGAAGCTTCAGTGCCCTCCAAGTCAACTTTGGTCTGAAAATATTAAGTGGAAAATTCCAGAAGTACACAATTCCTAAGTTTTAAGTTACAACTTTAATAGTGACATCTTTCCAAGGGAAACTAGTACTTTTTTTTTTTTTTTTTTGG